CAGGGTTTTTGTTGCGTAGATTTAGCTCCACCAAAATGGATTAAGCTGCATCCTCAACTTGTGATACTCGCAAGTGCACGAACCGTTGGTAGTATAGCATATGTAAGTGCGAGGTCGATTCCACAGGGATTGGTGATTGAATGATCCAATTTAGTTTCCCTACACAAAATAGAAACAAAAACAAAGAACATAAAACAAGGAAGAAAGAAATAAGTAACTCAAGCAAATAAGTTCCCAAGTTCAATTTAGATTAATGGATTGATTCTAGCTAAAGTATGATTAAGCCATGGTGTGTGGTCATAACCTTGTGTTCCTAATTCCCTAATTTGATCATTTGTTGTCTAACCTAAAATTAAGCATTAGGAACCCATTAAGCATAGAAGAACAATTTAAACAACCAAGCATGTATCTAATCCCTGTTGTCGAATGTCCATACATACTCTTCCTATTCATAGTTCAATTCGAATTAAAGCATGGTGTATACTCTTAATTCAAACCAAGATAGCTAACACGCAAGCCTAAATGGTGATCAATCATTCAAACTAGCATATTAACTTATAAGCATAATGAAAAAAAACAAAAACCATAATTGAAACTTGGAAACTAATCAAACTTGAAAAACTAAAGAAAAAAATTTACATAATGAAAAGTAAAGTGGAACTAAGAAAAACTTAAAGGAAAATTTCAGCACAAAGATCTCATTATAACAATTGAAAACTAGAAAATGAAACTAAGAGAACTTGAGGAAGAGAAGGGAAGGGAGCTCTAGAGAAGTGTTTGAGAGCCCCCCCCCTTGGGGTGTGTTTACAAGCTTAGAGAACATCCCTATTTATAGGCCTAGAGGAAGTGAAAATCTGAATTCAATATGGCTAATGCATACAACACTTATTTTATAAAATCTGAAATGGTTGATGCACTTCACCAATAGATCCCACCAGCAGCCCTAACTCATCTTCATGTCACCATGACCAAGCTTCCAACAAGCTCAATAGCTCATGCCTAGCTCACCATGACCAAGCTTCCAACCAGAAACAATAGCTCATCCTGAGGTCAGCATGACAAGAAACTTCAAGGGCTTACGAATTGGGCTTCCCTTAAGCAAATTAAGACTTTAAGCACTCAAACTTGAAGTTCAGAATGTCGTCTTTCCAGCCATATATCATTTGGGCCAATCCAAGATCGGAGGAGGAAGTTCAGGCCAAAACAAATTGCTAACTCATTTTGCGCGCTGAAAAAATCCATCCTGAGCATGGCTCTGTGTTTGCTAACAGACTCCATATTTATCCAATGGGGCTGAAATTTGGATATGTTATAGTACACACCAATTGGAACAACTTTCATAAAGAATGTGGCCTCATTAGAGCTATGTAGGTTGCTGAAACAAGGCTTGACATATGACCTACGAAACTGGACTGGCAGGGGGCTGTAGCCAAAATGAGTTTGGCTTTTAAGCTCTTCATCCCTTTATCCAAATCAGGCTTTAACATACATGGATTACATCATTTCATATCCAAAGCCATCATGTTGCCTAAAGCTGAAAGATAAACACAAAAAGGATTAAAAGCACAAGTTTAACTCAAAAACATAACCAAATAATAAGCTAGAAGGGTACAAAATGATATACAATTATGAACCGATCAAATACCCCCAAACCTAGATTTTGATAGTCCTCGAGCAAAACAAAAGGAAAACAAAGATAAAAACAAACAAGAAGTTAACTAGACCACTTTCGTAGGTAACTCGATTGCATTGAGCGTATGCAACAAGCCTTTAAACCTCTAGGCATCCCTAGTAGGAGGAATTGTGTCTCCTGAGGGTTTAACAGATACGATACCCACAAACGTTTTACTGACTCTTATAAATATATTTTGTTGTACAAGTGATCTAAAAAAGAAAAGGAATTTATATATATGGGACTTTGATAGACTTCGTCAAAGCAGAGGAACGCTCCACCAAATGTTTACGGGTGGAAGAAAGTAACCTTGGAGCAGAACATGGATATGGCGATAGCACTGAAGGTCAGCAGTTACTTTTTTACTTTAGTAAGCAATCTTGCCTCATTCTTTGAAAAAATTGTTTTTGGTATTGTTGTATAAAATACCATCATATGAACAAACAAAGAAAAAAAGAGAGGAAAGAAGACTATAAATGCATAACAACTGAAGTGTTTACCAAAATTTCACTTTTTCGTAGAAAATATGTCAATCACTTATTCCAAGAATACTGATATGCTAATAGCTTATAGGATATGTATTTACTAGTTGTTTTGCAAGGGAATGTATGGAATGACCATCAAGTTTTGCGTCTGTACTAATTTTGCTAGCTTTTTATTTTTATTTAAAGTTATTGTTGCAAATGGCTTTTATGTTTAGAATATAACAATATACTTTTTACCTTTAAATGATAATCTAATATTTTTTTCATGGTTAATTGTTAGTTTAACTTTGGTGTTGACCTTGAGAAACATAAAGAAGCAGTCGAGAAGGTAATTAGGATATACTATGCCTTTACATTTAATGTTATTCCTACTAAGTTCAAGTAGTCCTCCTTTGTTAGTTATTGGAAAAGGAAAAGGAAAAGCAATAAAGTGAAGGTGAATGTGATATATGTCGGATCATTAGTATAGCTTGCAAATTTAATTGCTTTTTTTATTATTAAATTTTATAATTTGAATAATCTGAATAGCATGGTAGGAAGCAAGAATATCAAATAGTTTGACTGAAATTAGGTGAACTGGTACTGCGTGGAAGCAAAATATATTAATAAAATGAATTCCAAGATTCAATTTTTCTTTCAATTATAATCATTAAGTCAAATAATGTGCACTTGTTGGGTTTTTTTTTTTTCGCTTTTTAATTGGCTTTAAAGAGTAGGCATGAGGTAGAGTGTTGTCTTCATCATATTAGACCCCCCTTTTGATTTCTTAAACTCATTTGTTTTTGTTTTTTGTGGGAAAATGTAGAAGGGTGAACATGTTACACTTATCGACAATTGGAACAACATGCATATGCACAGGGGTAAAGGCGTATGGGTCAACGAAGCTGCTGTGAATAAGGGGGTACATGATAAATTTTACTTTTAGTAAGCTACATGTTCAACTTTTTTATTTATTTAAAGTCTGACTTTTACTAACACAACTATACTTCCTTTTTTGTATGTCGTTTTTGTTTCAAATCCAAGACATGTGATCAAGAATATGATTTGCGACTTTGGCCAGATTCACCATACTTCTGACTATAACTATGATTATGATCACACATTGTTCATCTACATATTAGGCAGTATATAGACAGCTGAAATTTTATGTAGACTTTGGTATATGTGGATGCCTATGTTTCTGTTGCTTGTGGCACCTGCTCCCAAGACTTAAAGATGAAGTACTTTTGTGTGTTTTTGAAGGAAAGTTGAGGTACATGTGTAAGATGTAACTTTTATTTATATTTCAAGTCTTAGTAGACATGATGACTTTGAACTCAGGTTATGTGGCTGGTGATTTTCTGAATTATGCTATGTCACTATATTTTGATATGAATCCCTTTCCCTTTTAAAAAGAAAATGTTGCATGGAGTATGGTATGTTTTTATGGTGATATATGTTGTGTACTTTGTAGAATTTTTAGTTGGGGAAGTCCTATGGTAATTTTATTTGGGATATTTAATAAAAGTTTTATCAAAACTATATTAATTTAATTGTAGAAAAAGAAAAAAAAAGAATATTATTAATATTCAATAAAATATATTTTTCAGTTTAAAAAATAAAAATAAAAACCTCAGAATCAACATCCTTGGCAACCAAATAATTCAGTATTTGAGACAAAAATTTGGAAGTAGACAGATTTTCCTCGACCAAAAATATTGACATTAAATATAAAGCAAGACCAACTTTTTATTTGGTCGCCAATAAATCAAGGTTCATACATGCCTTTAGCGACCAAAGTTTACACTTTTTTAGACCAAAACTGCAGGACGCCAAAGGTAAACTGCGACCAAATGTTTATTTGGTCGCCAATCCCTTGGACTTTCGCGCCATTTATAAAACTTTGCGCGCCAATGAGGAAAGGGATCAACGACGAAATTGTGAGGAATGGGCGACGAGAATTATTGGTTGCTTATAGGAATCAGAGACCAAAATAGTTTTTGGTCGTTGTTTCAACTATCTGCGACGTGCCTTCTACGACGACTCGATTGTGACGAAAGTTTTGTCGGCACTATTAATCAGCGACCAAAAACATACATTAGGCGACCAAATATATTTGGTCGCCAAATGGATTTTTCCTTGTAGTGATGAAACAAACATGGAACTAAATTTAGTCCAAACCAGTCCAAGCCAATCCTGTGTAACAAACGACCCCCTACAGGACAATTTGAAACGAGTTTTTCTATTTAAAACCAGGACTTCTCTTTGTTCACCCCATATTCTAAGTTCACCTCAACTTCTAATTCAAATTTTCACAATTTCTATGAAAACCCCACTATTTTTCCAAACTACCCCTAAATACACACCCACCAGAAAGAAAAAAAAATTAAAAAACTCATCAACCTCACAGCCCACAACCCACACCCCGCTATCTTGCCCCTCACCACTCTAAGTTCACCTCAACCTCACATTACTTAAGGGTATACTACTAAAATACCCCTTGAACTTGTAGCTCACTTTCAATTAGCCCCATATCCTTTTTTTTTATTTTATAGAAAATTAAGGATATGAACTTCTTTTTTTCTCCAATTTTCCCCTTGCCGTCTAAATTCTCAACATTTCATCCAATTTGCCATTAAATATGAGGGTAAATTGATCATTTCCATGTGAAAATAAAATAAAATAATTTGAAATTTGAAATAATAATAATAGAAATATAAGGTAAACAATCAAATTCTAAATCAAACCCAACAAAATGCGTTCACAGATTCAAAAACTAGACCTACAACTGCATAGAAAGTAAACAACCCAAATTAAAAAGTATCAAACGAGTTTCAAAGATAAAGCAAATGACATAAAAATATTTAATCTTCAACTTCACTTCCTCCTTCACCTACTTCTTCATCTTCTTCCTCTGCACCTTCTTCGTCCTCATCGTCGCCCTCATAATTCAACCCATATATCGCATTCAGATAATCCACAATCTCTGGCGTCAGAATCAATTTATCCGCATTCAAAATATCAAACAAATCCAAAGTCCTCGGAGTCAACATCTTCAAAGTCCCAATATTTCTACTCGAAAGAATCACATTGTCAGCGACCTCCCTCATCAAAAAGGTCGTCTTCTCATTTGGGTCCAATCCCCATCTCTTCATCGCCACAATGAACTCCTTCGTCTTCGGCTTCTTGAACTCGTCGCTGAAATCCTCAACCACGATCGTGTTCTCCACCTCGCTCGATACAGACGTCGAAATCGCGAGGCTCTTCTCCTTGCGGTTGATCTTGATGCCACAATCTCTGGGCTTGGGTCCGAAAACGACGCCTTCGCCTGGCTGGAGCGGCATCCGGGTCGACCCCTGGTGAGCCCGACCTGTTTTCGAGGAAAGGGGTGGGTTGCGTTCGGGGAAAGGGGTGGGTCATTGGCTGCTGTGATGGCATTGGAATGGTTGGCAGCCACACCCAACCCTACCATCATCTTCCCTAATCCCTCTCACAAATACAACACCCAAACCACCACAACCACCATCATCTTCCCAACCCCCTTCTTCCCCCAAACTTACATGGGTGTCTTGATAAGTTTTGGGATGAGTGAGAGAAGGGGTCGGGCATGGGGTGGCTGGAGTTGGTTTTGGTGGAAATCAAAATGAGAATTTTCATGTGGGAGAGAGAGTTGTTGTCGGCACTGGGTGGGTTGGGACTTTGGGTACCTGCTTTGGTTTTTCTTCCATTTTTATTTTTATTTTTCAAACTTTTTAAGTGTAAAAAGTTTGAATCAGGTGGATGGGATTTGACAGAGGATGGAGTGAGAGAGATAGAGAAGAGCTGGGACATTTTTTTTTCAAATTTTTTTCAAAAAAAAGAAATTTATTTTTAATGATTTAACAGAAAATTGGATGAAATGTTGATGATTTAGACGGCAGGGGGGGAATTGGCGAAAAAAAGAAGTTCATATCCTTAATTTTCTATAAATAAAAAAAGGATAGAGGGCTAATTGAAAATTAGGTACAAGTTTAGGGGGCAAATCACTAGTATACCCCATTACTTAATGAGATAAAAACATTGTTGTCAAACTCAATTGACGACCCACAAGCCACTATTTGCATACCGTATTTAGGGTTTATGAAGAGAAGATGAGAGTTTAGTAGGTTTCTTGGATTGAAAGAGAAGTATTGGGATGAATAAAGAAAAGTGTGCGGTTTAAATAGAAAAACTCTTTGAAATTACATCCTCCATCGAGAAACCATTGCCATGCTTTAACTGAGGGCTGGAAATGAATTGTGCGAAAGGAGGAATTTGTAGTCAATGAGGTCGTGGATCTCTGGGCCGTCAGAGACGAGCAGGAGGAGCTCTGGTTTGCTATGGCTTACAAGTACAAGTTACATCTGTAGTTCGGCTGAGATTAAAGGCCTGTTTGAATGAGGGATTTGGGCTACTATGAGATTTACAAATCCCTATGGCCCAAATACCTTGTTTGGCAAGCCCACTAAGAGGAACTTCAAAAATCCTTGGGATTTGAAGGAGGGATTTTGTAAAGCCCAAATCCCTACTTGAAGTAAAGCTTGTTTACACGTTATTTGGAAATTCTCACGTTTGAAACTCCAACGACCAACTCCGACGAGCCACCACCAACGCCGACGAGCCAAGACCATCACCGACACGAACGAAAGAGGAACGACGCCAACGACGGTACAAATTCTTATCCTTTTCCTTTTCTCTCTCTAATTATTGGATTCAATGTTTGAGTCCAACTTGTTTTCTTTGTTTGTTAAATTTGTGATTGATTTGGGGTTCAATTTTGACATTTCCTTTTCTCTCTCACATTTCCGTTGTCAAAATTTTTTAGGGATGTGTTCTGCGCCATGGAGTGTGCCCCGAGCCAGTGTACTCCGAACGTTTATCGGGCGATCCTCTGCTTTGAGAACTTGAGCTCTGCGCCATGGAGTGTACTCCGAACGTTTATCGGGCGATCCTCTGCTTTGAGAACTTGAGCTGCTTTTTCCAGCTAGGTCTGACTGTGCGTGAATTCTTCTACTTCTTCGAGGTGAGGCACTTCGAGAAGTATGCTCAAGTTCGCGCGTGCCAGCCAAAGTTGTTTGACAGTTTTAGTCAGGGCGATCATGTGTGGAGCAAGGACGTGCTAGAAGTTAGAGGCAGATGGGAAGGGGAGGTTGGCGACGGTCTACTCGTTCCTCTCGCCTACTATGA